TCATTTACTCTCAGTCTAGCAAAATAAAAAAATATGACTCTTTAAGTGTGAAGAGAAGATAAGGCGACAAATTCATCTATAATTATTTAAACAATAATACTTTAACCATAATTTTTAAGTACTTGCAATCGCAATTTTCCTTCAAGTAAGGAAATTTTTTAAATAAAAAGATTACAAATTCTTTAATAACTATTCATTTGTTTATAAAAAAATTGTACAACCATAAATTCCATTGTTCAATATGTTTTATACTAGAAAGGATATAAATTCTTTTGGATATATTAGAAAATTTATGATATTTGTGAATTTGTATTAATAAATTGTGCATTTTGATAATGAGAATTTTGAAAGATATTTTAATTTTTTTCTAGTATTTTAAAAAATCGTTGCGATTTATATCTCTTAATTAAGTTGTTTAGAGTTTGAATATTGATCTATGGTATATAATATATTATGTTAAAAAAATATATCTTATATATACTCATGACCTTTAACAAAGATTAGTCATAATTTTTTACGATAATTACTTGGTTTAATTGTATTTTTGATCGTTCAAGTATTGTAATTGTGCAATTTTGATCCTCAGGGTTTTAATTGAGTAATTTTAATCTTGAAAAGATTACAATTGTGCAATTTTAGTTCCTCAATTTTTAATTGAACAATTTTAGTCTCTTAAATATCATAATTGTGCGATTTTAATCGTTTTCATTAAAAATTTAATAATTTTAAAATTTTAATATATATATATATAAAATATTTTAAAATTATATTGCTTATTTAAGTTAACGTATATTATAATTTTTCGTTAATGTAGCAAATGATATATATTTATTATTACCAAATAAATAAAATTTATATATTATTAATATTTTGATATTGTTAATAAATTAATATCAATAATATTATTAATATATTTATAGATAAATTAATAATTTGATAAATATAACTTAATATATATGAATATACTTTTACAAAAATATAAATATATTAGATAAGATATGTATATTTTTAATTAATATAATTATATTTTTGTAAAAGTATATTAATATATAATAAGTTATATTTATCAAGTTATTAGTTTATCTATAAATATATTAATAATATTATTGATATTAATTTATTAGTAATATTATAAAAATAATAAATATATAAATTTATTTATTTAGTAATAATAAATATATATCATTTGACTAATGAAAATCATAATATACGTTAACTTGAATAGATAAATAATTGTATAATTTTAAATATTGTGTATATATATATATATTAAAATTATTAAATTCTTAATGAGAGATACTAAAATCGCACAATTATAATATTTGAAGGGCTAAAATTGTTTAATTAAAAATTAAAGTACTAAAATCATACAATTGCAATCCTTTAGAGACTAAAATTACTCAATTAAAACTTTAGGATCAAAATTACACAATTATAATACACGAGGGATAAAAATATAATTAAACCTAAATATTTATATCGATACCGTAATTAAAAAATCATTATTTTCAAAATGATATGTAAATTCTAAACTTGATCAAATGTATTAGCAGCAGGTTAGTTACTCACTCATCTCATGACAATTCTTTTTTTGTATTTTTTTTCTTAATAACATACAATCACGATAAATCATTAGTATCTTAATAATTAATCACATTTTTTTTGTGAAAGTCTGTCTATCTTTTTTTGGGTGAATATTGAAATTGTGTGTTCAAAATGGGGCGAGAGTCTTCAATGGATTTTGGGCCAGTGTAACAACATCATTGGGCCAGCTTTAGTCCACACATTAAGCACGGACTCAGCTCGCAGTTTCAACTTGCTATTGGATTGCTTTCTACACCCAAATTTTTATTGGCTCATGATATATATATAATTTTCATATAAGTACATTTCCTTTTTTCTAAAAAAAACTTGAAAATATTTTTAATTTTTTAATTTTACACTTCCAACTTTCAATTTAGCTTTCTCTTCTTTTTCACACCTCTTTTCCTCTCTTTCAATTTTCACATATACTCTACTATTTTTCTCCTACTTCCCACCTTTTAGTAGATAGTTTTAATTCCTTTAACTTTTACATTACTCTTTTTTATTCTCCTCTTTTTCAATTTTTACATGCACCCAAACAACATAACTAGTGCATGACGATATTGTAGGCATATGCAGTTTCCTCGATAGCATCAAAGGTGTCTAGTCAGACACAATTTTTCTTCAAACACTTTCTCTCCTTCTACACTTTTAGAAACCTTAACATTTAAGTTAGTGTTTCAAAAAATATCGTTCAAAGAATTATTTTTAATATTTTTAAGAGTATTTTTTAAATAGTGAAGTTATTTTTTGAATTGTGTAAAATAACACACTTTTGGAAAGTACTTGTCAAAACACTAATTTTAGTGTTCGAAAGTAATTTTCAGAAGTGTGTTTTTTTATGTAATTCTAGAAAGTTCTTTTTATAACAGTAAATTTAGTGTTCTAAAAAGTATTTTCTAGAAGTATGTAAAAACAAAATTTTGGAACACTAAAATTAATGTTTCATGCAATTATTTTCTATAACACAAAATTTAATGTTGTGATTTTTAGAAGTGTAAAAGGAGAGGGAGTGATTGAAGAAATTGACTCGCAACCTTCGACATTATTTAGAAAGTTATACGTGTCTACAATATTACTCAAGATCAGCTTACATATTATTAGGCCTAAATAATCTTAAATTGATATTTTTCAAAATTAATAATAACATACTTTGATAGAAAATAAAAATATTTTAGAGATAAATTTAAAAAAAATATTTATATTTATATATCTTTTAGAGATAGATCTTTTAAAGTGAATTTTTAAGAATGCAAAAAAGTGACTTTTAAATTATGAAATTTTAAAATAATTATATAAATATTAATATAAAATATTTCTTGTGAAGGTAGCCTAAATGAGGGCATTATTGGTCTTACTCTTGGACCAATCCTGATAACATTGTCCCGCACCAATTTTATGTTTTAGGTGTATGTAAAAATTGAAAGAGAAGATGAAGAAGGTAATAATATAAAAATTGAAAGAGATCAAAGAGAGAAGAGAATAATATGAAAGTTGGAAAAAAGTCTATAACTATCTACTAAAATAGGTGAGGAGTAGAAAAAAAATAAGGGGACGCATGTGAAAATTAAAAGAAGGAGCAAAAGATATATGTGAAAAAAAAGAGAAAATGTTAAATTAAAATTTTAAAGTATAAAATTAAAAAATTAGAGAATAAAAAAATTAAAAATATTTTAAAAATTTATTTTTTAAATAATAAAAAAGATGTACTTATTAAAATATATAT